AGGTGTGAGCCACTACACCTGGCCTCATTAAGCTCTTTCTCTGCTGCAAACCTTGCTGTCTTGGTGGATTGGTTGTTACTATGCAGTGGGCATATGAACCTGTTGGTTGTATAAGACTTCTAGTTTGCAAACTCTTACCACCATCTCACCCTGCCTTGCTGGGAAAGAGGTTAGAGCTGTTATAAAGGGGAACATAGAGTGCATTGGTTACGTATAGTCCCACCATCATCATGAATGCTGCCCTCAAAAGCTTTCTTAGGAAACTGTCCATGACACAGGGTGGGATTCAAGCTCACTGATCAGCGGTTCCATAAAGGTGAGGCCTGGAGGCTGCAGAAATGGCCACAGTCACAGCGGGAATGCCATAGCCCACTGGGAACATGATCCACTTCATGAGTCTGTTGATGCTTGAGTAGTTGACCACCGTCAGGTTCCGTGCAGTGAGGAAGAGGTGCAGGCCCTCCAGCAGCATCCAGGTGAAGGCAGCCAGGTAGAGATAATGCAAGGCACCGGCGATGATGGCGCACAGCACCTCAGGGAGGAGAAAGGAATGCCTGAAGGGGTTGTCAGGGTGGAGTATGGCCCTAGGACCTCTCCTTGACATTGGCTTTGGGTTCAGAGCACCTGACATCAGACCAAGGTCATTAAAAGTAAAGGGGAACTGGACGCAGTGGCTCATGTCTGTAATCTCAGCACTTTGGGAGGCTGAAGTGGGAGGACTGCTTGAGCCCAGGAGTTTGAGACCAGCCTGGGAAACTTAGTGAGACCCCATCTCAATTATATTAAAAAAAATAAAGATAGTTGATAGTCAAGGCTAGCATTGTCCATCTGGGCACCAACCCCTTCAACCTGCCCTTGGGACTGAAAGTGGTGCCACCTCCACCTATGTCACTTTGCAACAGATCACCAGAATATATCCCTCCTTTTTAACTAAGACTTTGTATACTTTGAGCAATGTCTCCTTTCCTCATCCACTTCCCCACTCAACCTCTGGGAACCTCCTTTCTATTCTCTACTCCTACTGTACTGCCTGGTGACTATAGTTAATAATAATATATTATGAATTTCAAAGTTGCTAAAAGAGTGGATTTTGTTTTATTTTATTTCTTTCAGATAGGATCTCACTCTGTCACCCAGGTGGAGTGCAGTGGCACAATCATAGCTCACTGCAGCCTTGACCTCTCAGGCTCAAGTGATCCTCCCACCTCAGCCTCCCGAGTAGCTGGGACTATAAGTGTGTACCACCATACTCGCTAAGTTTTGCAGAGACGGGATCTCACTATATTGCCCAGGCCAGTCTCCAACTCCTGGGCTGAAGTGATCCTCCCACCTCAGCCTCCTAAAGTGCTGGGATTACAAGCATGAGCCTCCACCCACAGTCCAAAAAGAGTGAATTTTAAATGTTTTCATCACAAAGAAATGATAAGTATGGAAGTGATAGATATGTTCATTATCCTGGTTTGATCATTTCATAAGGTGTACGTCTATGGAAACTTCACATTGTACCCCATAATTTTATACAATTATTATTTTTCAATTAAAAATAAAATTGAGGGAAAAAGTTTCACTTTAGCATAAGAGATTGTGATTATGATTCTTTTTTTTTTTTTTTTGAGACAGAGTCTTGCTCTGTCACCCAGGCTGTAGTACAGTGGTTGCAACCAAAGTTCACTGCAGCCTCAAACTCCTGGATTCAAGTAATCCTCCTGCATCAGCCTCCCAAGCGGCTGGGACTACAGATGTGCACCACTATGTCCAGCTAATTTTGTTATTTTTTTGTTTTTTGTAGAGACAAGGTCTCACTATATTGCCCAGGATGGCCTCGAACCCCTGGCCTCAAGTGATCTTTCCACCATTGCCTCCCAGTGTGCTGGGATTACAGGTGTGAGTCACTGTGTCTGGCCCAAGGGATTATTTGAAACTGAAGGCAGTTGAGAAGAAGCAGAGACAAAAAAAGCTCCCTGCCCTCTCCCTATTTGCCTAAAAGCAGGACATACTTTTATGTACTTGTCTTCTTTGGGGGGTGAGAACACTTAAAATCTACTTGTTAGCAATTTTTCAATATGCAATATGTTGTTATTGACTATGGTCATCATGATGTACAACAGCTCTCTTGAATTTATTCTTCCTGTCTAGTTGAAATTTGGTATTCTTTGACCAGTATCTCCCTAAACCCCTTCCCTGCTGCCCTAGTCTCTGCTAACAACCATTTCTGCTCTTTGCTTTTGTGAGTTTGGCTATTTTAGATTCCACACGTAAGTGAGATCATGCACTATTTGTCTTTCTGTACCTTGCTTATTTCACCCAGCATAACACCCTCCAGGTTCATCTATGTTATCACAAATGGCAGGATTTCCTTCTTTTTCTGAAGACTGAGTAGTACACCAGGACATTAATTTACAAAGGTATTCCTCCTACCTATTCTCTTCTTTCTACCCTCCTACCCTTGCTATGGGGAGGACGAAAGTTGATCACCAAGACAACTTATTTATTTATTTATTTATTTAAGATGGAGTCTTGCTCTTGTTGCCCAGGTTGGAGTGCAATGGCACAATCTTGGCTCACTGCAGCCTCTGCTTCCCGGGTTTAAGCAATTCTCCCGCCTCAGCCTCCCAAGTAGCTGGGATTACAGGTGCTCATCACCATGCTTAGCTAATATTTTGTATTTTTAGTAGAGAGGGAGTTTCCCCAAGTTGACCAGGCTGGTCTTGAACTCCTGACCTCAGCTGATCTGCCCACCTCGGCCTCCCAAAGTGCTGGGATTACAGGCGTGAGCCACTGTGCCCAGCCACCAAGACAACTTTAGTTCCTCATCGGTCTGGAGCCAACGCTGGAGGAATCTACAAAACCAATGACATGGTTTGGCTCTGTGTCCCCACCCAAATCTCATCTTGAATAGTACTCCCATAATCCCCACGTGTTGTGGGAGGGACCCGGTGGGAGATAATTTGAATCATGAGGGCGGTTTCCCCCCATACTGTTCTCGCGGTAGGGAAAAAGTCTCACGAGATCTGATGGTTTTATCAGGGGTTTCCGCCTTTGGATCTTCCTCATTTTTTTCTCTTGCTGCAACCGTGTAAAAAGTGCCTTTTGCTCGGGAGGCCAAGGCGGGCAGATCACGAGGTTGGGAGATTGAGACCATCCTGGCTAATACGGTGAAACCCCGTCTCTACTAAAAAAATACAAAAAATTAGCCGAGTATAGTGGCGGGCGCCTGTAGTCCCAGCTACTCGGGAGGCTGAGGCAGGAGAATGGCGTGAACCCAGGAGGTGGAGCTTGCAGTGAGCCGAGATGGCACCACTGCCCTCCAGCCTGGGCGACAGAGCAAGCCTCCGTCTAAAAAAAAAAAAAAAGTGCCTTTTGCCTCCCGCCATGATTCTGAGGCCTCCCCCGCCATGTGGAACGGTAAGCCCATTTAAACCTCTTTTTCTTCCCAGTCTCGGGTATGTCTTTATCAGCAGCCTGAAAATGGACTCATACAATCAGTGATACTAATTATCTATCGCTCATTTCTCAGATATTTGCCTTCCCATACTTTGCTGCCCCTAAAGACCGAATATCGTTTTCCCTTCTCCAAAAATTTATCATTCTTTGTCAAAAATGCTGTTGTTCTAAACTACCTCTTTGAGAATGCCTCATTCCCTGGGTATCTCCCATGTATATATGAAATATACATGTTAATACATTTCTGTTTGCTTTTTCTCTTATCTGTCTTTTGTTATACGGGTCCCAGCTACCAGAATGGTAGCAGGAGAATTATATTTTTCTCCTCTACAGACCCAAAGGTATTTTATTAAGGAATCCAGCACAGGCTTGCTCCATGAGCTCAGTGTCCCTTGGGGCAGGGCAGGGCATCCTCTGAGACACGGTCAGTACCTTGGATTCAGTTTGGTCAATCCCTACGAGGAAGAGGAGGTGGGCCACGAAGAGGCAGAGCGAGAGCTGCAGATGCAGCGAGGTGCTGGTGTTCTGGATGGCTTTACACAGGAGGAAGGTGAGGGCTGCCAGGAGGAGGCACAGCAGAGACAGGCTCAGCCCCACATAGGTGATGATAGTCAGCACGGGATCCTCCTCCTGGGACCGAGAAAAAGAGTTCATAGTTATGCTTTCCTGCACTGGGATTATGGCTCCCTCCTTAAACTGGGGCATCCTAGACACAGGCACCAAGCCCGGTAGTAGTGTGGGGCCGTTAGACTGCTAATGTAGATTGCTAATGTAGGCTGCTAATATAGACTGCTAATATAGATTGCTAATGTAGATTGTTAACGTAGACTGCCAATGTGGATTGTTAACGTAGACTGCCAATGTAGATTGTTAACGTAGACTGCCAATGTAGATTGCTAATGTAGACTGCTAATGTATATTGCTAATGTAGATTGCTAGACCGTCTTTTTTGTTTTCAGCTTTATTGAGGTGTATACTTAATGTACCAAAAATTGCACATATTAAATGTATACATTTTGATGAGTTTGGACATATGCATAGGTAGGGCAGCAGAATATGTCACCATCCCCTCAAAAAAAGTAGAATGGCAGTTACCAGAGGCTGGGGAGAGGAGAGAGAGAGACTAGGAAGCTGTTTAAGGAGTGGAGTTTCAGTGTTGCAAGATGAAAGAGTTCTGGAGATGGATGGTGGTTGATGATTGCACAATATGAATGTACTTTACTAAACTGCATATACATTGAAAAATGGCTAAGATGGTAAATTTTATGTTCTGCGTATTTTGCCACAATCTTTACAAAGTGTTTTTTTGGGCCATGGTATCTCACACCTGTAATCCCAATAGCTTTGGGAAGCTGAGGTGGGAGGATTGCTGGAGGCCACGAGTTCAAGACTGGCCTGAGCAACAAGTGAGACCCCGTATCTAAAAAAAAATAAGTATTTTTGTATGCAGAGGGCTTGTGCTATGCAGTACCAGTTTGATCCCAGAGCTCATACTAATGATGGGATTTTAAAAACTTTTTTCAGTTCAGAGGTACATGTGCAGGTTTGTTACACAGATAAACCCCTGTCGCGGGCATTTGTTGTACAGATTATTTCGTCACCCAGGTATTAAGCCTGGTGCCCATTAATTATTTTTACTGGTCCTCTCCTTCCTCCCACTCTCCACCCTCCGATAGGCCCCAGTGTCTGTTGTTCCCCTCTTTGTGTCCATATATTCTCCTCATTTAGCTCCCACTTATAAGTGAGAACGTGAGTATTTGGTTTTCTGTTCCTGCGCTCGTTCACTAAGGATAATGGCCTCGGTCTCCATCCATGTCCCTGCAAAGGACATGAGCTCATTCTTTTTTATGGCTGCATAGTATTCCATGGTGTGTATGTACCACATTTTCTTTATCCAGTCTACCATTGATGGCCATTTAGGTTGATTCTGTGTCTCTGCTATTGTGAATAGTGCTGCAGTGAACATACATGTGCATGTGTCTTTATGATTAAATGATTTATATTCCTTTGTGTATATACCCAGTAATAGGATTGCTGGGTTGAATGGTAGTTCTGTTTTCAGCTCTTTGAGAAATTGCCACGCTGCTTTCCACAATGGTTGAACTAATTTACAATCCCACCAACAGTGTGTGTTCCTTTTCTTCTGCCACCTCACCAGCAACTGTTATTTTTTCACTTTTTAATAGTAGTCATTCATGATGTGGTTTACAGTAATCATGTTTTTTTT